AGCCTGTACTGGTGCCTGGGGTTGTGAAAGCGATGCGAGTGAGCTGAGGTGTTGGGGAGCACCCCTGAAAACTTCAGCCCATGGGAAAATGTCCGTAGGCCATGAGATGTGGCTTGTTCAGAGACAGGGCTTGGTTCAGCGCTTTCTCATTTTTCACCCTGGTAACTGGTGGTATTGATTATCACCGTGTCTTTTAATTACCTGTCAGAAAAGGAAATTCTTCCTAATGTGGTTTTTGTGCAGAATACACTTATTCAGCCCTGCGCAATAGCAAATTCAGTCCTTTTTCTGGGCGTCATCACTTATTAAGAAGCCAGGAGCCATTTGGGGAAAGGACAGCTGTGTTGCTGTCCTGGTTGTCTGGTGGAAGCGTCACAAAATTATTTCGCTTAACAGTGAAGGGAAGGTACGTTTCAGCCAGAAATTCCCCTCACTGAGGATATTTTTTACCCAACATAATTGGTTTCTGCTTGTGCTAACAGAAGTTAAAAGTCAAATCTGTTTTAGACGAAGTAAGCGCGGCGTGACCTTTTCTGGAGGATCTCCAGGCCTCTTGACCTTCAGAGCAGAATTTGTTCAAAGACGCAGAGGTTGAAAGTTCTTTTAAATCTCCCCTGCAGCAAAGGGCCGAGACAAAATCCAGCTCGAGCGCCGGCTGTAATTCGGAGCTGAAGTCTCGACGACGGGGTCGGACGGGCTCTGCGGGAGAGTGAATTTGGCCTTGGGCCATGGGCACCGTCAAATCGTGAAGACCCCAGGGGGTTGAGAGATTCCTGAGGAAAGGGCTCGTGGTTACGGCCCTCGCTGGACCAGGGCTGTGTGAGCTCGGGCTGAGGTTACACACAGTCCCATGTTTCGCAGCGTAGCCGTTCTGGAAAGGTTTTATAATCCACTTTCCCTTTGGGTGGTGGGTTTTTTTTCTAATTAATTCTCTCTCCTTCCTTCCTTTCTCTTTTTCTGTCTCTCCAGGGCGGCAGCAACTTACGGATTCTGGGCTTGGTAAAGTCAGATGAAGGTTTTTATCAGTGCATAGCTGAAAACGAAGCTGGAAACGCGCAGGCCAGCGCGCAGCTAATCATCCCAGAGCCTGGTAAGATGCAGAGGACACGCGGAATTGTAGATGTAATTAATGCTATTAACATAAAAATCCCAAATGAGCAGCTACTGTTCTTTACTCCCTCTTACTTATCCAGCTGCCTGGCCGCGGTTAAAAGCGCATCCAGATAGTTTGAGGCGTTTTGTTCGCTGGGGCAATTACAGATGCTGACCTTGTCCTAGAAATGACTCTGGAGGCCACCTAAACCTTCATGAAAAGCCAACGGCGATGTCTTGCTGTCTGTTGGTGGGCTTTATCCCGCTGGAATATCAGAAGGCAATCAGAAACGGGTGAGGTGATGGAATGAAGTAGTCCGTAAGCGGTGGAGAATGATATCATACCTAGCTCTGCGTTAAGCTCTTGTAGAACATTTGTCTCGGGGAAAGAGAAGAAAAAGGAAGAAGAGGAGCGGTTTGTCAGTGGGATATCAAGGGCAGCCAAGTGTTGAGATCAGAAGGTTTTTGTCTGCGTGCTGGAAGGATGAATTTTTTGTCTGTTTGTTGCTCTGAAATTAATAGGTGTTTGGTTTTTCTGGGCGGCGCTGCGGGTGGACTGCTTCATGGGTTTTTAAGGAACAGAAAGATGTCTTCATCTGAAGCTAGATGGTATGTAAAACGGGGATAAAAGCCTCGCAGAGTTTCTGGGTTGTAAATGATTAATGGCCTGCACTGGGCTGCAGGTTACACTTGCTGCTTCTCATGAATTATGCCAATAAGCTGAGAACGAGAGAACGTGCTGAAGCCTTGTTCGTTCTCCAGTTTGGACTGGGAAGAGCAGAATCTTGGTAGCTCACAAATAACCAAGACAGCCCTACTGAGGTCAATTAACCAGCCTGATAGCTCACACCATAGAATTTTGGGGGGAAATCCTTTGAAAAGTTTCCATGCAGCATCTCTGTGAAGTTTTAAAGCTTTGCCAAAAATCTGGTCTTCTGGAATTAGAGAAAGGAGTATGGCCGCAGTCCACGTTCTTGTTACCTGTAGTAGTCTGGCTCTTGGGGACTCCTGTGTGAACCCAGAGCAGGATTGGTGCTGAGATCCATCACAGAGCAGCCCTGTAAGCTGTAGCCTTACGAGCACTGTTATCCAGAGTGGCTCCAGGCGGGGTGGAGCGAGGTGGCAGGGCATCGTGGCCATGGCTGAGATGGCCTGGTAGACAGAACTGAGGAGTAAGCACCATTGGAAGCCTCAGATCTCCAGTTTGCCAAGTCCCATGCAGATACTTAAGGAACAGGGCTGAGGTATCACAGAATCACAGAATGGTTGGGGTTGGAAGGGACCTCTGTGGGTCACCCAGTCCAACCCCCTGCCCAAGCAGGGTCACCTACAGTAGGCTGTAGAGGACCTTGTCCAGGCGGGGCTCGAATATCTCCAGAGAAGGAGACTCCACAACCTCCTTGG